ATTCCACAGTAAATTAATCTGTTTGTAGTGTGTCTTCAAAGTTATGATCATTTGTAGAAGTGACCGTGATAAGGAGGTTGTTTCTGTGTATCATAAAATTTATGATTAAAATAAAAAACCTTGGGAGATTATTCTGGGCTTTTCAGACCATCAAATTATAAAATATGTGTTTGAAGATGGCAGAAGGCTCTTGGTATGAGTAATGTGTTTCAGAAGTTGGCAGACGAATACTGCAAATGTTTCCAAATAGCTTGACACAGAATTGAGTTACATTTTTTATAAAAACTACTTAGATCAGTGAAAGTCTGCTTCTTAGATAAGTAAGTGGGAAATATGTTTTCAGAATAGTCTAGAAGAAGCTGTAATAAAAATGAAAAATTGTATGCATTAGTGGAATTGTGAGTAGAAATTGAGTGGAATAACAAAGAAGTAGTAAAATAGAATACATTGTGATCACGACTTTGGTTTTGCAGTGTTTAGGATTTAGCCTTAGAGGTGACAAGAGGTGTGTGCTGTTCTCTCTGTGCTTTAAAAATGCATTAGAATGTTGACTAATAGGCTAGTCACAATAACCAAATAACTTAAGCCTTCGTGTAAGTAGCACTGTTTTTACAGCAGAAGGGTAATGTTTGTTTGTTTATTACATTTGACTTGTATACCACTTGCATTTCTTGCCAAAACACTTTACTGTCTTAGCTTGAAGATAATTAGGAATATCTGTATAGTTACTACAGGCATTTAAATGAAAAAAAAAACAAACACTAAAAATAAGCATGCCTTCCTGTATAGTTCTAGTTTATTTGAACAAGTGCCCATAATTGGAGAAAAGAGAGAGAATGAAGTTTTATTATTGTGAGTTTGAAACTGGACTAGGAGCAAACTGGAGAAGGAAAACTTTTCAACATCATTGTGGTTTTGCTTTTTTTTTCCACCTTCATTTGTCTAGTGGGTACTCATTGCTGCAAACTGTGGAGCAAAATGGTTCTTGGTTTTAGGGGGGATTAGATGAGGGTGCTCAATTACTAGAGCTCTATGAATTATTATTTTTTTTCTGCTGCTGTGTGTAACTGTCCAACAAAACTGTCCACTGTCCAATCTTGAAACACACTGGTTTGGTAACCAGATTTTGTGTCTTGGTAAACGACCAAAGTTATCTCTAAGAAAGAGGTTCCTCTGGCTGTAATTATTTCAAACTACCCCATTAACTGCAAAGGAAATTTCATAGGTTGTTCCCAACCTGGTTGCAGATTATTTTACCTCACCTGTAGCATTCTGTTGGACTTTGTGCAATATCTTAACAGTATGGGCACCATGGAGGTCAGGGACAGCGAAAGCTTGAGGGTTTGCAATTGCTGCTGTAAGAGGTAGAGGCAGTGACTGACTGTTGTGGCTGTAGGGAAGTCTCTAGGGAAGTTACTGTGAACTTTTGTGTCTTAAATCGTTTGCTCATTTAAATCCTTGCCATAGATTATACTGCTGGCAAGGCAAAATAACTGGTGAATGTATGAAATAAAGAAAGGTGTTTTTGACTTGAGATGTTATACTGAAAAATCATCTTTAAAATGGTCTAGAGAATACTGTAGTGGATTGAATTAGTATTTTCAAAAACTTAAGTACTCTAAAGAAAGAGCAAACTATGACTAAGAAGCCTCAAAGTTACCATTAAAGCTGTTTGGACCTTGACATATAGTTGGAATGCATAAAAATAAACTAATTTATAATAGTTTGCACTTGCATGCTGAAATCTAGAGGGATTAAACTGCAGACCAAATGTTCATTAATCTTCCTATTGAAGCATTGCTGTCTGAAGTGTAGCCAGCTGGGTGATTATTAAATCTAAAGAAGGATTTAAGATTCAGCATGCATTTTGAAGCTTTTATGTGTATTATAACTTTTCTACCAACGTCATGAATTGATCATCCTTGCGAAAAATTGATCAAGGAAAATGCATGATTGTTTTGACACAAAAAGATTACAGTTGATCATGGGAGAAAGAAAGGAAGGCTAATTTTTAAAGAAAGTTATATTGGAATAAAAATATTTATAAAACTTAAGTTAACAGCTAAATCCTATGTGTCAATGGCTTGGTGTCTAACAGCTCTGTATAACCTTTATACCACTTTCTAGAATAGAAATACATTCTAATGAGTGATGACATGGTATTGCTGTAAGACAAATAATAATGCATTTTAAGTGTAAAAACAAACCTAACTATTCCCCAAGCACTCCCATTTTCATGATGCATTGTCCCTACCTGCATTTTTCTCTCATATTCTGTTATTCATGTCTTTTAAAACAGAAACACATTGAAGTACAGAATGTCTTTTTTGAGGAGCAAGGAGGCAATTTCTGTAACACCAAATATGTTGTCATCACAAAGCAATTATTATCTACTGCATCAGCTGACACTTAAACTTGACTGTGTTGTTCCATCCTTTTTCCCTCTAAATAATTTGGAGTCTTCTATTTGGCCAGCTCAGAAATTTTCAGAAAGCATTTGCACCACTTGCCTTGAGATGCTCTGTAGAAGTCTCATTACTGAACACAGAATTACTGAGACTTCTTCCAACAACAGGCTGTTTCTTTTGTTTCAACAAACTAAGCATTACAATATTTTGAAATATGCAGATCTATTTCTGCCCTCCTTTTACCTGTTATTCAGCTAATTTCTCCCTGCCATGGAAAACTGGAAGATGAGAAACAATTTTTGTAATTACTTGCTTGTAATTGCTCTCATGCAGGGTCCAGCATGAAGGTATTCAAGCCATCATATTTAGGGAAGAGGATTTGCTTCTGTCTAGCTGCCAGTGTTGAATACGAGGCTGTGGATCAGCCCACACAGGTCTTGAACGATATGAACATTAATGGCCTGTGTGAGCAAAGTCAGCCAAGAGGAAAGCTGGTCTGCTTTGGTTCATTCAGGTGGTATTTAGAGAACGACTCTTCCAGAGTGCAGGTACCACCTGAGGGCCAGTGCCCTAGTGCACAGGGTCCCTCAACGTGCTTCAGACAGCCAGTGAACTCTGGTGGAAGGGGAGATTGTTCTCTTAAAGAGAAGATAGCAATGTCTGTAGAAAGTAGAGCTGTTTCGGAAGTATTCCATAATTATATTCATAAAGACAACAGTATATAACTTGCTATGTCTCACCAGGATGCAAAAACTATTGTTGCTGGGTTTTGCCTTGAAAGGAGGATAAATATCCTTGTTCAAAGGGGTGTCTGGAAAACTTTAATAAATCAATCTGGGAGAAAACACTGCTTCCGGGGGAAATAGTTCCGTGATTTTTTTTACGGTGATTGTCACTGTAGCTCTATTTGTTCTTGTGCCCAGGGCACAAACATTGCAGTACAAGAATCTGTGAAATGTGTAGCCATCAGGAACAGAAATTTGGGAAGACTTTGGGCAATTGCTTTTGCCAATTTGAAAAAGGAGGCAAAGAAAAAATCTTAGTCCACAGTTTTGTGCAGTGTGCTTAGAAGCATGTAAGCCTAAAGAGGTAGCACACATTTTAATTAGCAAGAATTTGGGGTTTGGTGGTTTTTGTTCTTAAAATATGCAGTTATGGAGGCTATTCTTCAAACTGGCAAAAGTTTTTTGTACATTGATCGAACTAACCCCAATTCTTGTTGTGATCCATTGTGATGCATTTTCGGAGTCCAGTAGAACTACTGAGGGCTGTGTGAGCTGGTCCCAGAGAACACTGCTCACACTAATGACTGAAATGGGAAATATTTTTATTCTGGTGGAAAAGGAAGGACTCGTAAGAAGTTGGCGAGAGCTGTTGACTGCCATGAGAGTTGCTAATGAGCTTTTGTATGAGGTGCTTTGAGGAACTGCTGTTGCAGCAGCAAAGGTATTATTTAATATCACACAGTAAAAGTCCTATGCTTTGTTTTGTGTCAAATAATGCTTCTAGCACAGCATGATGATGCATGTCACATCCAATTTTTAAATAAGAAATAAAACCTTTTAGTTCCTAGAAGCAGAATTACTGTATTTCTTTTGCAGAAATTTTAGGACTCAATTTAGTCCTGAAAATTGCTGGGCATTTAAAAAACTTATTCTGTGTGTCATACATAATTCCAGTTCTGGGAACTGTAAGAAGCACATGAGGAACTTGAGTGGAAAATACATCAGAAAAGCACATCAGAAACCTGAAAAGCATTCACAGCCTTGGGTATTCTTTGGACTTCCATCAAAGTCCTTTTTGCCCTTGCTCAGTCTTTGTCAGAGAAGTACTTATTTTATTAATTTATCTTTTTAAATTTTAATTAACAATTTCCAGTATGACATAGCTGCCATTAATCTTCATATAGTTCTAGCTTTTTTCAAACAAGCTTAAAGTAAAAAAAATACCCTTTAATACAAGAGTGATTCCTTAAGGACAAAATTCTGCCCTCTGTAGTTGTGTATCTGACGAGTTGATGAGGTTCTATGGAAAAAAAATTCCAAAGAGAAGTATCTATAAGCATTATCTGACCAAATTTTTCTTAGTTACATGAAAAAGTTCTGTTTCAACACTGGTATGGTATAAGAATGTGCCAAGTACCAGTTGCAGTACATGGGCATGAATAAATACGTAGGAGATATAGATAATGAACTACCTGGCTCATCAGTCTTTGTGAGCAAGTGTAGGAGTGAGAGTGTTTGGCCCTCATATAGCAATGCACTTATAACTTACATATGGAATACAGTTTAAAAGCTCTGGAAACACTGGAAAGGTGGAAAGTGAGGTGTCAGAGCATGAACGTACAGTGAAATTTGCTCTTTTTTTTAAAATTATTTTTTTTTGTCTTCCCCTGAGAGCATGATTAGACTAAACTTTGAAGTTTTATATGGAAACATTGATATTCAATGAATGTAGAATGAAAGTATTGTATAGTAACAATAACAAAGAGATTAAATTGGGGCAGCTGTTACCAAGTGGACAGTGGGTCCATCCTTACCTTCACCAAAATCTTTAAGTCTTATTTCTCTGCACTGAGCACAGGAGATAGACATGGCAGTACCACAGAACACAGGAGTGGGACGTGTATCCCACCTGTCTGAGGAGGATCCCACCAGATAAATGGCAGTCGGGCCATCACTGATGGAAGAAATATGGTGAAGCAACACGACTCCCAGCGGACTAAGCCTCTGTGACAAGATCCAGCTCCGACTGGGAAAAATGCCTCTAATGTATATTTCTTCATGAACAGGATATGACTGGGGCTTGGAGAAGAGTTGACAAATCCCACCAATGGTTATGTTTTGCAGTCTTGATGATGCCCTGTCTGCTTTGATCACAAGCCCATGAACTGCGAGTTGCTTGCCTAAGTGTTTTAGGAGTCAACAGCTGGTGGAGTCTTTGGAAGAAATACACCACTGAAGAATGTGTCTGAATTGGTGGTACCACCCAAATGACTACACTGCAGTGCTTGCAGCTCCTTAGCAAGCTTCAGCCGGCCAGCAGAAACAGAGACGTGGATAGTCCTGATTAGAAGGAGATAGTGGACTTTCACAGATGAAATAAAGTGTGCAGCATCAGTTGGAACAATTGGGGCTTATAAATGTCCAAGTGCAGGTAATGAAGCATTTCCTGTGGTCTGCATCAGTGCACAAGATTATGTTGTAGCAGTGATTGGTAGTCTGGAAGACAAAGACATTTTATGCTTGATTCAGAATGACATACAAGTAATCATAGCAATAGAGGTAGGAAGCTACCACAGCTTGGGTGAGCCATGATTTAGACAGCCTCTCTCTGTATAAGGCCTACAGTGTTTTGTTCCACCTGTTACTGGGCTGCAACATGTACAGTAGCAGAGCTTGGATCCAATGGTGCCAGAATTTAACAGAAGTGAAAAAGCTGTTGGGCAGCCTGAACTATGTGGTGTAAAGAAAGGTGATAAGGAAGCTGGTTCAGATGATGTCTAGTACGTCTGAAAGTTTACTGTCCCAGAGACAGTGTGCATTTTGAGCTGCAGCCATCGTTTCCACAAGAGATGCATTGAGACCCAGCTATTAAGACATGGGGTGAGTCTATAGTGCAAATGTGATCTCTTCTAAGCTAAAGCAATGACAGTGACTGTCAAAAATGAAGAAAAACATCTAGTTGCTCTTGTGGCAAATGAAGTTCCCAGCACTGCTTTACTTAATTAAGAGTATGTCGGTGCAGTTGCACTAATAGAAGGTGTACAGGGGCCACATGAGTAAAGTTTCCTTTTCAGAGACTGAGAAATCATTCCTTGGGTCCTTCTGCCCTTCTCAATGTCCTTTTGAATTTTAAAAGAATAAAGTTTTGCTTAAAAAATTCCTGTGTTACCACACAAAACATGTACTCAAAACATAAGAAGCTGTAATAGCTGAATTGAGTTAGTCACTAGAATGGATAATGGGTGAGCGTGGCTGACTGCAGTGCTTTTCTCTGTGTGTGTGTATACACACATGTTACATAGACACATATCCATGTATTTGTGTGTATATATATATATATATACACACACACATATTCCTGGAACTAAAAGTCCAGCTTTCATAATGTTAATATGAAAGCAATTTTACATTGAAAAAAGTGCTCTGTTCTAACTCATTACTACAAAACTGAGGATCTGTATTTTATAGCCCTGGATATGCCAGAGATGTGGGTGATGTTCTGCAAGAGGTTTGTATGTTAGACATAACATTTTTGCAATTAAAAAATAGAAGAGGGTTGGGGGATGAGTACTTTGTGTTTTACTTTGGAAAACAATGTTAGTATGAAAGTGAGATTTTGGTTAAAAATCCTAATATATATATATTCCACTTTTGAGGTAATGTACTGTTTAGATCACTTTTTTTTTTTTTTTTTTTTTTTTTTTTTTCCCCAAGTCTTTGCTTAAGAAGTGCGGTGGGGAGGTTAGATAATAAAGTTTCTCTTTGTCAAACTATTTTGCAAAGTTTTCTTTGCCTGAGAGTATTTGGAAAATAAGTTGGTCAGCACAAGCTCATTTGGTGCTGTGCCTGAGCTGAGTAAGGCTCTGCTAGAACTGATACATAAGCAAGTAGCTGAAGGGTCTTGTTTTACTGGTATATGTAGCAAAATTACAAATCTTTAATTTTTATTAATAACACAACTTATGCAAAAGGGTAGAAACATTATAGATATGTGTAACTATCATGTTGCGCTTTTCTTCCAAACTGACTAAAAAGGTGACCTTAATAAGAAACTTGACCAGTGTATGTCTTTAAAATGGAAAAAAAAAATAAAAAGAAAATGTATGAAAGTTTTTCTTGCATGGCCTAATGGGCCTCATATTTAATCTATCCAAAACTTTGACTCCTGTAAAATTATTTCTAAATAATATAAGGGTTTCCAAAGCATCATAGCTTATCTGCCAGATCTAGTTCCATCTAGAAACAGAATTCCTTATCCCCACCATAACTTTTTCAGTTATTTCATATCTTGCATTCGGACCTCTAATATTTTTTTTCTCCCCAGTTTCTCCTTAGTGTTGAGAGATTCGAGGTAACATTTTAACACTGGAAGGTTTTGAATTATTATTTAATTAGAACTAAGCCTAATGATCAGAGAAAGCAAATAAATGGAAGAAGATACAACAATTTAGTGGATGTGTTTCATTATCATTTTGCTTTAAGGATAAATAACAACACAAATACTTCCCCTCAGAGATGTTTGGGCTGTGCACATAATCCACATTGAAGAAAAGTGACAGACTATGTTAAAGGTACTACAAAATCTTACATATTTCTTTGTGAAAATAAATGCTGCCAAGAGAATAACACTGGTATCGTCAAGCGTGTTTGTATCCCTAGACTCTGGACCCACAGGTATCAGACAGGCGGACTTTCTGAAACAATAGTGGAAACAGTAACTCCACTGGCATGAAACTGATAGGATACCATTCTCCATATAGTAGCAATTCCCATAAACTTTTATATAGGATATATATATATATTTTAAAAGCAGTCATGAAATGACTCAGAAAGGCTTTGAAACTGAAGAGACATATCTCAATAAATGTAACTGAAGCAAAGGATTTTGCATTTAACGTGAAGTGTACCGTATGTCTTTCAGGAACAGGAATAATGAGACATTTAATAGCTTTTTAATGCATTTCACTGTGTCAAATTTGAGACACATATGGTACACTCTTAACTGAATTTCCATTCTCTTGTGGTTTTCTGTTGCAAAGTCTTGAAAATTGAGTCTCTCTGTTCAAATGTTATTATTAACATTATTATTATAAATGTTATTATTTTTAATTATCTCGAATACAAGTTGTTCATTTTAAAGATGAGGTTACGTGAAAAATTTTGGTAAACTGCTCGAAATGTAGTATGATAGTAGCTTTAGGTCCAATGGATTCCTTTTCAGAACAAACTGATTTTTTTTGTAGTCTGTTATTCACACCTTAGGTTTATATTTTTAGTAATTTCCTTTAGTATCAACCGTATATTTTGTGAAAGAATTCTTTTGGAATAATTTTTGAAAATCTAATAAAAATGCAATTTATGACCTGAAACACTTCAGAAGGGAACATTTTAAGGTTAGGAATACATGCAAATTGTATTCTGTATTTACACATATCTGTTTTTTTACCTAACATGAACATGCCATCTTTTTGTTGATATCAAGGGCACCAAGTGTTACAATAGTGCTCCACTTTGATGGGTAAGTGTTGAAAAAATGGAACAGATCTTTCATGCAGTCTCTTAGAAAATGAACTTCAGAGTCAGAAACAAGTTCTGAATTTGTCTCATTCATAAGTGAAGGGAAGCACTAGCAGCTTTTCAGACCTTGCATTCTGGATTGACAGTTTTGAATAATATGACTGAAGGAAGGCAATGAAAGGTGAATAGTACTTTGATGATCTTACAGTGTGTATTTTGCAGATAGTTTTTTTAAATTATTGAACTGATGTAGTTATGTTAGCAATGCATAGGGTCACGTAATCTTAGCTAAACATGAGATTTTATGGGGAAGAGCCTATAAATATTCTTAATTTCACTCTTTCTTCTGCATCTGCTCTCTCTCATTGGGTATGCAAACTAATGTGATGGAGGATTTAATGTTTTTTATAAGCAGTACAAAGTAGCTGAAGTTAGATTGAAGTAATCTTTTTTTAAAATGTTTTTTTTATGTTTACTTTCCAGTGAAGCTCTTGCAGGAATGAATCAATTGTAATTGCAGACTGTTAAAACAAGGAAAGGTTTAATATCTTTGCACCTGTTCTTGTTGATAAGCTTTACTGCTGAGTGGTATTTCTGACTATTATTTGTTTTGGATTGAGTTTCAATATTTGTGTAGCATTTTGAGGAAATTATATCAATGTTAATGGGCAGTAACCACATCAGGTCCTTTCGTGAATAAGAATGTAACCTTAATCCTTATGTTTCCAAAAAGGGAAATCCATCATGGTACAGTTAGAGCATAAAATGTGTTTTAGCAGATATTGGTGATTTATTTTTTTTTATAATCTGTCTGGGTGAGTGCTTTGAGGCTAAATCTGCAACCTTCTGTACAATATCAGTTAGGACATCTCTTGAAAGATATATTTTGTAAATAATTGCATTTTAAAATATGCTGCAGAGAAACATGCATCAACAAGTACTGAACTTCTGAATATGTTTTTCTTTATCTATTTTCACCTGTGTACTCTTCACTCCCCTGTTTTTTTAAGGGCTTCTCCTCCATCTCCTGCATTTTGTGTTTTCCAAGTGAACCACAGTAGTGGTTTAGGTGGGTTGTTATGTGCACCATCTTCCAACATATGACAGCATATATTCAGAGCTCTTCAGTACTGTCATCCCTGTTCATTGTGTTTCCATAACTCTTGGTGACTAAAATGATTCTCTGAAAATTCATAATTTACTCATCTGCCACTTCATAGCATCTGACTGAAGAAAGCAAACAGAAAGGTGATGGATAGGAAATCTGTTTTGACTGTGTGAACTTGCATCTGTTCTCTGCATTTCAGCTGTGCTTGAGTTGTTGGTGTGGCACCCCAATGGTCCCCCAGCAGCCAAGCCTTGCAGAGTGGAGGGCCTCAACCCATCTCCCTCTGCTGCAGGAAGCCAGGTGGTTCTCTCAGAGTTATCCATTCAATGGTCTAATGCAGTGTATTCCTTGTCCAAGACACACAGCAGTTGTTTACAGGGCTGGTCCTGCTGCTGTGGTCATATTTTTGTTGGTTGCGTTTTGTAGAGTAATGGTTTCATGGATCTTGCTACTAGGAAGGAGCTGGCCACGCACTGGCTGGGAAGATCAACCTTGCCAAGGCCTGTGTTTGAAGAAGAGGTGAATGCAACCATCCTTGAACACTGACCAGTTCTTATAGAATGTTGATGCTGATTTTATTTGTTTATTGTTGTAATTGCCTTGTCCTATCTTAAAGTATGTGTATTTGGGATGGGGCTTTTGTGGGTTTTTTGGCTTTTTTACACAAGAAATCCCATATTGTGTCTCTAGTATTCTATCTACAGTAGTAGAACCAGTTATATTGAGTCCTTCTTCTCTGTTTTGTTAATATTGATTGTAGAATTCCTCTAGTATATTTTTTACCCTGGATTTCTGTCTCATCTTCCATGAGATTCTTGGCTGGCTTAAATATCATGTTTTAACTCACGCTCCAGAGTTTTGAGACAGTGTGGCTTATCCAGGAGTTACTTTCAAGTAACTTTAGATTTGTGTGGTTTTCATGGAGAAAAGATGAAATCAATCTTGTTGGTAAGTTTTAAATTAGGTGCTGTTAATTCAAACTTTATTCAAGTTTAGCTATTGTAAATTCATGTATAAGTACTTGTCGCGAGCTGATGCCAGGGGGCTACTTTAAAAGCTACTTAGTTTAGATACTTACTCAATGCAGAAACATAGGTTTTCAACATGCTTACTTGTTTCTTTATGAAAAATAGAGCAAACTTGGCCTGTATAACTCTTCTTTATAAAGCATTCTTACACGGAAGCAAAATATTAGCTTATAATACCTTAATGAGGGATTTTTTTGTGTGTTTATGTCCATATGTAACTTTGTCTTTTTTTTTCCTCTTCTTTTATTTTAAAAGGTATTTCTCAAGAGTGACCGGGTTGCAAGAATGGTCCACAGTGGAGGATGTTCTGCAAATGACTTCAGAGATGTTTTTAAGAAAAACATAGAAAAGAGAGTCCGCAGTTTGCCGGAAATTGATGGATTAAGCAAAGAGACAGTGTTAAGTTCTTGGCTAGCCAAATATGATGCTATATACAGGGGAGAAGAGGATTTTTGCAAACAGCCGAATAGAATGGCCTTAAGTGCTGTATCAGAACTGATTTTGAGCAAGGAACAGCTTTATGAAATGTTTCAGCAGATTCTAGGGATCAAAAAATTGGAACACCAGTTGATTTATAATGCCTGTCAAGTAAGTATTGGTGTCACTCAGTTCTGTTATTTCCAGAATATCTTCCCCCTGCCAACAGGTCAAGTACTTCCTCCCTGTGTGTAGAAGCCTTCAGTTTTAAGTCTTATCTCTACAGTCCAAGGAGATGAGGCCCCCTCAGGAAGGAATCTTTGCATCATTTTGTCACTGGGGAGGAAAAGGATATGCCAGAATATATGGTACATGTGCTACAGGGATCTCCTGAGACATTTTATATTGTCACAGCTCCAGTGATTTGGGTGATTCTGCAGGATTTTGTATGCTTTGTATACCTTCAGACCCCCATATAAATTACAGATATATGTGCATACAATTGTGTGTATGTCTGTACATCTTTAAAAGAAATTTGCTGCCATAAATAGATAGGTGAGAGGTGATTGAATTCAGGATGCTGTTGGCCATCTGGTGTCTATTAGGACTCAACGTGCTTAGTTTCAGACACCATCTACAAAACTAGTTTGCACATTTTTACTTTGTTGGATAAAAGTGATGTTCCCCATAAAAAACTAAAGCCAAGACAAACCGTTTATTCAGCAGTCATATTTGGATTTATATATATATATATAAAATCTATTGCTAATCAGTAGTGTAAATGATATGTAGAAATATTTTATCTGGCTAGTCTTCATAGTCATGCAAATATAAATTAGCAATTAACTAGAGAGGAAAAAACCTAATCAAAACAAGGTATTTTTGAAAGACTCACAAACAGTCAGCATGAATATTTAAACTGAGCTCACATGACTTTCTACGCTGTCTATAAAATAGCACACTAGACTACATCTAAGCTATTTTTAATCTAATATGCTGAAGGTTTGCTTGTAGTTACGGGCCATCTTAATGCAGGAACAGTGAGGTATCTTGGACATTGTTACGTGTTTATTTTATGGATTAGTGTGGCATGAAATCATGTAACTGTTCTATGATTGAATCGTCTGTGGTGTTTAATACTGCTCAGGGCCAAAGATCCAAGTTTTGTAGTGAGAAAGTGTAATATTTTATTCTGCATCAAATTATGAGGGCTTCTGTTTTCACTGTGAGCTGTTTACTGACAGGTTGGAAAGAGACTTCTGAATGAGCAGTCTTGAATGGAAAGAGGTAGAAAAGTATTTCTTATTCCAGGATGTGCTAGAGGGAGTCCACTGGAGGGGTACAAGGATGATTAAGGGACTGGAACATTTGTCTTACAAGGAAAGGCTGAGAGACCTGAGGCTGTTTACTCTAGAGAAGAGAAGACTGAGAGGGGATCTTATGAATGTTTACAAATATCTGAAGGGTGGGTGTCAAGAAGGAGTGGCCAATCTTTTTTCAGTTATGCTTTGTGATAGGACAAGGGGCAACAGACACAAACTGTAACACGGGAGTTCCACCTCAACATGAGGAAAAACTTAACTGTAAGGGTTACAGAGCACTGGAACAAGCTCTCCAGAGAGGTTTTGGAGTCTCCTTTTCCAGAGACTTTTCAAGAGTTGTCTGGATGCGTTTCTGTGTGACCTGCCCTAGGTGATTCTGCTATGGCAGGGGGGTTTAACTCGATGATCTCCAGAGGTCCCTCCCAACCCCTATCATTCCATGATTCTATGATTCCTTCTTTTTTTTTCCCTATTTGTCCCATCTTTTTCCTTTTGCCTCTTAATTCGCATACATGTAAATCAGGAAGCTAACCTCTGGGACATAACAGGTTGGTAAGAAGATGAAGCAGCATTGAAATCTTGGGGATAATCTTGCTTCTTTGTTGTGTTTTTTTAAATATATACAATAGAACATAGAGCCATGGGATAATTCAGTTTGGAAGAGACTTCAGGAGGTCATTCAGTCCAACCTTTTGCTCAAAGCAGGGTCAACTTTGAGAACAGACCAGGTTACTGAGGGCTTTAACCAGTCAGGTCCTAAAACTTCCAAGTATAAACATGCACTGCATAAACTCTCTGGGCAACCTGTTCCAATACCTCAAAACATGAAAAAATAATTATGTCTACTTTCCCCGAAAGTAGATAACCCATTACTTATCTAGTAGAAGCTCCTTATGGATTCTTACCTCCTCTAGTGTCTGATGATTGCTGAATCTTACTGTATTTCACTGTGAACAGTCAAAATCTGCTGTTAGTCTGCACTGTGCTAGAGGAACACAAACAAATGTGACTATAGAGGTTTTAACAATTAAAGAAAAATTTTTTTCTCTTAGTCTAGAAGTGGTTCTGATCATACACCATTAGGTTCTTGTACCTGTATAATTGAAGACATTTTTATTTAGGTTCTTAATTGTAGGAATATTGATAGAACAAAACTAGTTGGCAGAGATCTACAATTTTCTGTCTTTTCTTGGTCCATAACCTACAGAGACTGAACCATGACAGTGACTCTTTTTTATCTACTACCATGGTAGAATTTTGAGCATGGGGTGATGTTATTTTCTATTTTTTTAATTGCAAATTAAAGAGGAAATAATCTCCTGGTAAGTAGGAAGGGAGTAAGACTGATCATCCTGATGTGTGTGATGATGACTCAACAGGGATAAAGAGAAGACTCTTCTCTTGCTCTTCCCAGTTTTGAGCATTGAAGGTTGTAAAATCTCCTGTGCAGGTCTCCAAAGTAAACATTGTTTACAAGTATTGGAGGATGGGAAAAGGAGACCTACTTCCTTGGGAGCAGATATAGGAGCATTTAAGTATTTGAAGCTGGGAAGAATGGAGAGGGAAAGACTTCAAGCCTTCTTGTTTCAGGTTCTAGCTTTCTGTAGATTTTAGTTTTCTGAGACAAGGATGAGATTACTTTGCTAAAGCAAAACTGTCATTATGTACTCCAACAGACTTGCTGCTAACCATACACTTATATCCTTTTCCTGTGGTTCGGTCAAGCACATATAGCACCAGAGGTATGAGGAAAAGTCTGTTGCAAGGAGAGAGACAGCAATCATAGCCTTCCCAGGAAGTGTGTTGCAGACAGCAATCAGGCTCTGATAACGTAACGCCTTTTCTCCTTCGGCAAAATCCCTTATTTCTCATCATAGTTTTAATAAATGTTTTACTTTAGACTGTATCTTATTCCTTTTTATTGACAGTGTATTTATAGAAGATGAGATGAAGTGAGACAGAGTCAGCACCAGCAGTTTTCATTCTGCCCTAGAAGCCTCTATCTGTCTTTGCATGAAAATGCTCACTTTCATTTCCCTTTGCTGGTGCTGTTTAGAATACTAGACTTCCAGATAATGATAATCAATAGTGTCTGGGAGCAATGAGATAAGTGACAGTCCAAACAGATGTTAAAATTGTATTTTTGATAGAGGTTTTGATGGGTTGGCTTCTAGCCTGTTCTTCTAGCAGAGGATCAGATATATGAAATTCTGTATATTTTGCAGCTCTGATAAACAGCTGCCCTTAGCAGCAAATCTGCACATTTATAATTTGTGCAGAAAACTCTGTCTTCTTTCTTCTCTTTTTTTTAGTTCCTTCCAGCTCTTTGGAAATAAGAAGCAGAAAAATGTCTTACAATGCCGACGATAAGAGTAAATTACCCTGCACCTGCAGGGCTGCTAAGCAGACAGGGATGCTATTTGTAACAGTAGGAGGTATTGTCTGCCAGCCTCCTCCTTGTGACTTTCTCTGCATTTAGAAACTTTTTATTGGTTTTCATCAGCTTTTCCTCCCCAGCCTGTTCTGAACGGAGCATTCCCTTCAACTCTTAATCCCCTTGGTATCTTGCAGCAGCTCATTAGACAATCCTGCAAGGGTGTGAGTTACTGTGGATCCAGACAGGTTGCCAGTCTCCATCCTCTGTGTGTTAGCAGTGAGAAGCAGTGTTTGTTCAATCAGCACACAAGCTTAATCAAAACTATAGTGAGTAGTAATAGACTAGCTCTTTGACATTTGCAAACATAGGACACATAGCTATGAGAATTTTGTCTTTTTCTTT